AGACTTTCTCAACCTCCAAACACGAATATCGCATCGCTTGGCCAGGAATTGCCTGGCGCTCACGCCACGGTCCCACGGCTCAAGCTTTGCGCTCCAATCGCTATGGAGAGCGCGTCCTTCACGCCCGACGTCTTATATACTCGTCCAAGACGCCGCCCCACTGCTGAGAGGGTGTTCCCGAGGTTTTTTCCTTCTTTTTCTACTGAGGAGCTACTTATGGGATACTGGTTCATGACGGAGCACCAACTACCCGCAACACTTGATCGCGGGAATTGTCTTTAAATAACAAAAGGAGCTAGCGAACTGGTAAAAGGCTTTCTCTTCCTGAGCTGGACAGGACACCGTGTTGTTTGGGTGAACTATTCAACGGACTCAACGCAGTCAACGACGTACACAACAATATCTTCAGCTATGTCATTAAAGGCAGAGTCCATGCTGATTAGATGGGCGGAGTCGGAGCAGCCGCTGTGCCGTTTCCATCAAGGGACCTCACCTCTTTACTGTCTTAGGATGAGGTGTGCACCATTAAAAAGCCAGTGATTGTCTGCCTCCGCCAATGTCTCGGCCTAGCCGCGTGGAATGTGCCCTTACTTGGGATTATTTTACTATTATCTTAGCGAATTTTCTTTGCATATTTCATGGGATGCCAGACTGCTGAAGTAATTCCGAGAAATAAATCCAGCTTCGGCAGAAGAGTATGGACAATTTGGGGACCCAACAAAGCAGTTTTTGACAGCCCACTTTAGTTCAGAGAACATTATGTATCGCACCAGCTCTTGCCCCTCTGTGTTCTCGAGTGGGACACAGGCAATTAAATCGTAAGTTGCCGCTTCGTTGCGCGCGGCAATGGGCGCGACGTTTCCCAATTTGCACTACCTTTTCGACTGGAGCATCGGATTTCATGTAGACAAGGACATGGTAGACTTATGTCTATTTTGGTGGCCTAACGGAAGTTGGGAGGGGCCACGCGGCTCGTGCGAGTGATGACTCATCGGCTCTTCACTCATCGGCATACTTGAAACGCGAATCTAGCAGCCAGATCAGAATAAAACAAAACAAGGTTCACCGGGAACTTGCTGAAGAATTCCACAGAAGCTAAAGTTTGTTTTTGTAGTCAACAATAACTCACCCGACAAACGTGCAACAAATTTCAGTAGTTTAGGCAAGAACTGGTTGCAGCGCTAAATAAACTGTTTCTTTGCACTTTTTCAGTGTTAACTGTTTTAACTTTTGAATATAGCTAGGGCGAAGTTATATTCATGTCCTAAACACGAAATTACTTCTATTTTGCCGAGGAGGGAGCAGAAGAGCAGATGAGTCATCGCTCGCCGCGAGCCGCGGTGGCCCTCCGAACTACCTTAAGGCGCCCTCCTTTTTTTGTCAACGTTGTCTGTTTCGACCAATACCGCCTGAAATCGTCATCATTAGTGGGCGCAGCGTCGCACGGGACGCTACTAGCGCGGCGAATTACTGATTGTGATTTTTTTTGTCACAAACCATTCTCGTGTTCATGTGATAGCGTGTGCATGTTACACATCGAAGAGAAAAGGAAAATAAGAGAGTTGCAAAAAAAACGGCTATAGAACCACTTTTGAAGCAAAAACGCCGCATCCGGGTCATGCACAACGCATGCCGGTGCTCGATAATGCTCCTCAAGGCGAGCCTCTACTCTGAAGTCAGGCCCCGTCTGCTCACAGAATTGGCAAATCCTTAAATAAACGCGTGAAACTTCTTCAAGCTCAATAGCTCTCACTCATGTGTGGATAACGCTGAAACAGTCAGCGGTATGACTCACCATCAAGCCATGTCTTGATAAGCCGGCAGTTATTTATCAGCACGCAGTTCAGTGGGGTGGCGTGTTCCGGTGGCACTGAATGTTCAGAGCGGCCCGCAGCCGCCGCCCCCTGTCTCTGAACACGCGTGTGCGCGCAACGATTCCAGCGAGAAAACATAGGGTTACGGCTGAGCCGAAAACGGCGCGTACATCTGACACGCGCCCGCCGACTGACTTCAGGGATAATCAGCTGTACATCAACAGTAGCATTCACTCCACAACAGCTCAGTGTTAAACTGAGTGACGTGAGTCTCTCCTGCACTACAAGAATCGACTTACCCTGCGTAGTTTGGTAGCTGGTAAGGATCGTCGAATCGAGCGTTCTCCTGTTCTTGTGCTGCTAACATTGCAGCTTTCTGCGCAGCTAGCCTTTCTGCTAAACGCGCGTTCCTCTTCACATTGTGCTGAAATTCCATTCTATTACTTTCAGCAGAGCCATGCTATGCACGTGTGAGCTTCAGTGCTATCGATAGGCTTGTGGTTAGAAGTAGGCGTCGACTCTCTCTTTCAAATCCACTTGTATTTCAATGCCGCGACTGTGAAGTAACGCTCCGAAGCCTTTGATAGCGCAGCCATACTGCTACTAGCCCAGCTACTGTACTCCACCAAATGCCACCGCTCCACTACAACAGGCGCAGTTCTGAAATCGGCGCCAGCGCAGCTGGTGGATACTGTTCGGCAGCGCCTCTCTGTCGCTCCCCTTTAATAACAGAGGCTCAGAGCGAAGTCGATCAGGTTCACCCACCGACGGATAGTCTCGCAAACAAGATGGAGCCGCGTGCACAAAGGGCCTAAGCCTTGGTTGGGAAGGGAGCCCTACAAGGCGCTACGAGTCAGTTCGCTCACCCAAGCAATCCACACGGCTACACTCGCTCTAACAAACAGTTCCTTGAGACCACTGACCGGTGAAACCTCTCTAGGCATTTTCACGCGAATTTTTTCTTCTTCTTCTTCTTCAACTTTCGGCATGAACTCTTCAGTTTGCGTTTCTATTGTGACAGGATTTCGTTTCGGTTCCATGAAAATATAGCATTTGATTACAAGGGCCTGATTTAGTTGTAGTCATTCAAGCCGAAAAAATCAAAAGGGAAGACATATGCAACAGAACAACGGAAGGTAGCTGCTTAGTTTCTCAGCTGCACGAGAATCCTAGTGTGAGAGCACAGTTCACTGGACCCGAACTAGTTACTTCTTGATGGGAGTACGCGGTTTTGGTGTGGGTGGCTTCGATTCTTCTTTTTGCCACTGGCTCGCAGTCGAATTTATTCAAATGCATCATCTTGAATGTATAAGTAAAGTTTAGCGAAAGAAACCGAAATTCAATAGACACATTTCAGCGATGGCAAGTCGTTTATCGCGTGGGGTTCTTGAGCGAAAGCGATATATGCTAGTTTGTTATCCACCTGGAGAAAAAAAGCAAGAGAAACCGCTAAGTAAGGCCCTATACAAAACGCCTTGCGAAGTTGGGGCCCTGCAGCCATTTATATCCGGAGGTTGATTGGCGCTTTTGGACGAGTTTGCATGTGTAAGCCCTGGTGTTCGCGGGATCATTTTGAACAGGCAGGGATCCTTCCAATCTCTTAGCATCTTTGGCAGTTTATCGTTTACCTCACGCACGCGCGACTTTAACTTGGTGGGCTTACTGCACACTGTCCAGTTTGAAGACTCGAATTAGCAATCTGCGATTGCTGATCCGAATCTCATCCAACTTACGAATAACCGCTGACTTGACTGGTCGCGAAATATGCCTTTACGAATGAATTAAACGGATCAACCAACAGAGCCCTAACAAGTTATGGTATAATTGTAGCCATAAGGATAGGGAGATTCTCAAAATCGGCGATTGAGCGACTCTGAAGCAAGGAGTTAAGCACGTAATGACAAATTCCTGATGCCATGATTACAGAAATTAGAAACTATTCGCTACTATTATTACATTCAGATGAACACTAAAATGTCAAGCGCCAAAAACGAATCCTCACATCTCCGAGCGCATTTACCGCAGAATTTGAATGATTCCCTAGCCTACAACTAACTACAGTATCACCACTATTGAATTCCACGAAAAGAAGAAATACCTTTTGTTTGTCCATCACTAAGTCGGCATATGAATCTCTGATGACGTCATCTTTCAGCTGAAAACAAAGTAAGCTGTTGAGCAATGGGTGACTTTCAGATGCTGTTAAATGAATGGGACACCTGTACCTTTGCTCCATTTGTGTAGGACCCATCACTCAGTACTATTTGTCGTGAGAAAGTCCTTCCCAATTTTGGGTGCTACCTTACCATCTGGCCAGGCGTATTCGCCCGTCTCTACAGTTCATAACGAAGGGCAAAAAAAGGCGTCCGACTGTTGCGTATTTCAATATTTCAATGCCGACTGCCTCTCTTAAACAGAGGTGATTCTGAAGTCAGTTGGGGTGTGGCAGCGTTGCGTGGGTTTTTGCAAAGTGCCAGCCCGTTGTTCCTTCGATCCTGTGGCCTCAGCTGTTCAATGAGTAGTGGGAAAAACGCTCGTGGAGCGCAAAAACCCAAGCGCGCTCACACGCCCCGACTAACTTCGGTGGAAACGACTGTACCTACATTTCCGCTTACCTTCTGGGAACTGCAAACATCGCTACGCCCCTTTTTGCCTTCATCTATAGACTCTATGTACCGTGAATATTGCGGAGCAGGAGTGGGTGTGGCTGCGTACTTCATCTGAACGTGACGGCGACTGCGCTTTTTTCAGGATGTTGCTGTTTTGGGTCAACTTCATTCATGTTTTTGCCAAGAACAGGACACGGCGATAGTTGTTTCAAACGGAAAAATCCAGCAAGAAAAGCATCTCAACCCATGTGTAGGTGAAGGGCGCCGTAACGCAGTTCCAATGTGCAGGATATGGAGTGTACATTTTTGCGCTTGGTTGTTCTACCGCCTGTTCAACTATAAATGGGCCAGTATGCTCAACAAAAGGGAATGGCTCCTCAGACTGACCATTTTACTTTCGTAATGGTTTGATGATAATGATGACGTTCATAACAGCACTCATGCGCAGGAGATAGAAGAAATGAAGAATGTTGGCACTGGTTATCCGGTTATAATCCAATTTCAATGGGCATCCTTAAAGGACTCACTACTTACCTTCTCCATACTAGCTGCAATCATTTGTGCTTTCTTAGTGTCACCGGCTATAACAGCAGCGATTCGATCATGACCCATCGTGATCAGTACTCCTTCAGCTGCACTCAGACGATCTTTGGCCTTATCGCATAAATGGGCCTAGAATGAGGGTATTCCGGAATGGAATGTTAAGTTTTTTCTAAGGCAACTTTCAGCGAATTGGATATCCATGATGGAGCAAAGCGCACAAACTACCTATTCTCTTGCTCAGTCATGACCTACTGCACCGTTTCACGCTGAATCAACTGGGCCCTTGAGCGATGCCGCCATTTGGCGCAACATGGATTTCTTAAGATATAAAACTTTTCAGGGAACATTCTAGCAGAACTAGGAATGAGGAGCAGGTACATAAGTGACCAGCGAATTGCACCCATTACCCTGGTCAAAAGAATGCTACATTCTGTTTACCTTGGTATTTAGTCAGTGTCACTACTATATCAACTGGAAGGTCGATTATGACTTTACGGGAGAGGTAATGGGGGTGAGCGGGGGAGGGGTGTGCTTCCTAGTGCAGTATAAGTCGATTTGAGAGGTAGAGTCCAGTCCTACTGCGATGCGTGAGTGGTGTATAACGCTCCACTCATCTGTACTGACAGGGCACATCATTGGTTGGGGATTTTAGTCGACTCTATACGACCCCCCCCCTTTTTTGGGAGTTGGTACGACCCCCCCCCCAGCCCTCTGTCCTTCCTCATCGAATCGAGCCGTCGAGCGGGGGGGGGGAGGGGAGGGGGAGGGGGGTAAAATAACAACAAAGGAAAAGTTCCGCAAGCCAATACGACCTCCCCCCCACCTCATACCATCAGATTTTCCCCCAACTTCCTCCCTTTTTCCAAAGTTTCCTGAAAAACTTCCCTACTTTTAACCAAAATCTGCTCTGGTACTGCGGGTGTGGGCATAATAGTGGGTAATTACCTAGAAATCACCAAAAAGGTCATCGCCCTTCATTCAACGCCTGAAACCGTAATAACCGCATTACCCCCTCACCAAAAAGTAATCTAAATACGACCCCCTCCCTTTAACAACGCTCCATTGAAGCGAGAAATAATGTTCAGTCCAAACAAATATTCTTCTCAGCCCAAATACCGACCACCCCCCCCATTGGGATTCCCCAAACGATGTGCCCCGTGTACCGAACCGCAAACGCCAAACTGCCAATAAACTCCCGAGTCAAGGATTAATTGGTATTAAGGTCTCCTTTGGAATGACTAGTAACACTGACCTCACATCGATTGACCGCGCTTCACATTCCACCTTGTAGCAAGGAAATGCCTTCGCTGAGTGGCTACGTAAGTACAAAAAGGTGGAATGCAAGGCGTGACCCGAACCGGAACATTAAACACAGAAGCTCTGCAATTCTTTATGTCTCTGGGAACATCGGCTAGGTGTTTCGCATCAGGTACTAGCTCTAAGCAATCAATTCCATCTAACTTACTCGCCGGCTCATAGTTAAGGCAGCGCTTACTCATCGCACAGACCGCCCTGCTCAGCGCTATAACGGTAACAGGTAGCATAAACGCTCCAACGCCATAAGACACGATGCAGTCCGCATGATTTGAAATTGAACGACGCAGTCCACACATTACGAAAGAGTGCGAGCGGAAACAGACGGCCAACGCTTCTTGTCTCGATCAACTCTGATAGCGTTCGACACATCTGCCATCGGAATCAGATTCCTGTCTGCAATGCGTTGCCAGTCTATAAGGCAACATGCAGCGTCTGTCGGCAAAGTACCGTCGCGTCGCGTCAATAAAGCGTCCTCACAGAATTCTGAACGCCTGTTGCTTTGGGCACCTCGCAACCGCTTGTTTTCGAAACTGGAACAGAACCGGTGGCAATGGGATATACCCCCATCAAGGCTAGCTTTCGAGTGGTTTCATACAAGAAGGCTGTGATTGATAAAGAGTTGAAAACGACCCCCTACCCGGACAGTTAAGCCGTTGTCGCGAGACATGATAGCCTCTCGTCGTATCTGATTCTTTAATGTGCGCACAGCCGAGAGCGGATCTTCGCCGAGATCCGATGGACGAGTGGCGTAACCAGAAGGTTTGTAGATGTTATCCGGCCTGAAATGAAATGGATAAATGCAAGAAGGACTTTCATCCAGAGATGACGCTCAGCTTCCACAGCTGGGCGCCTGCCACAAAGCTTGTGAAGACGACTAAGAAGCCAGATTACTGCGGTCATCACGGCGTGGGTAATACTAGACAAAGTGGAGTGCCAAGAGCAATTAAGAGCAATAATACTCACATATCATAGCTACCATCTCCTTTCAGTTGACGGCGTTTCTCCTCCGATAGAGTCGCGCTCGACTGACGCTGCTGGGTCAGCGGTATGAATCTGCCCGATGGCAGAGCACTGCCAACGTCACGATTTCTCTTCTTTTCTTCACTTGCTGGTCTCTTCAGCGATCTTCCGCTGCTGGCTCGGTCACGTCTTGCCAAGTAGTCGTTGTAAATCTCATCCTCATAAGTGGACATTCTGAAAGTCGTCGTGACTTTACGAACAACAAGCGCACCGAAGACAAGTTGGTCGCATAGGTTGAATCACTTGGACCGCTAGACCTCTTTCATCGGCAGGTCATTCCTCCAAGATAGCACAGTGAAGGAACACATCACTGAGGAAAGTGCAGTGGTCCAAGTGATTCCTCAGCCATTTTATGTATTCCTAGAGAAGAAAAGGCAGTAGCTGTTGCAGGAGCTAGGTTAACGGTTACTTGTTTACAAGTCCATATCAGTGGGTGCGGCAGCGGGTTCGCATCTGCGGACGATCACAGGTTCAGACAAGGA